TAAAACTAATAATTTTATTACCTTCACATTCTCTTGGTCTTCTCTTTTCAGTCTGAAGATTCCTAACTTTCTAAGATTACAGTTGTCCTTTTCTGTTAATGCTAAAAGCATAAGCCACTAAGTCACCTTGATCATTTTAGTTTTGCTGTCAGGAAATACTCACCAATCCTTATTTTACCTAGATGCTTACTATCTGCTTGAGATAATCAATCAGAGCAAAAACTACCATATTTTTGGAAACTCAATTTTATTTTATATTATTTTTTTAATGTTTATTTATTTTTGAGAGACAGAGAGAGAGAGAGACAGAGCACGAGTGGGAGAGAGGCAGAGAGAGAGAGACACAGAATCTGAAGCAGACTGCAGGCTCCGAGCTGTCAGCACAGAGCCCTATGAGAGGCTGGAACTCACGAACTGAGAGATCATGACTTGAGCGGAAGTAGGATGCTTAATTGACTGAGCCCCCCACGCGCCCCCGGAAACTCAATTTTAAATACACCATTAATGATTTCTGATCTGTTACTTAACTTTTTGGCTGTGGCTCCAGAAAGCCCAAATCTAGGTCACAGCCACTTAAGAAAAAATTTAAGACTTGTAAAATGTTCTGATGAGTTGAATACTTCTATCATATACCTTTTCTATATCCCCCATGTCCTCAATTTGCAGTTATCTACTGCCTTCCATTCCAGCTACCTTTTCTCCCAAAGTTAGTCTAAAAGAATTCAGGTACTAGTCTATAAATATACTGATAAATGTATTCCACAGACACAAAATCCTATGAAAATGTGAAGCTAATGCTTTCATGCTTAAATCCCTTAAGAGAATTCAACAAAATAACTGTTTAGCTGTCAGACATAATTTCCTAGAGGAAAACATGGACAAAAGAACAAGTAAAATTCCATTGTATAACTATTTAGTAGTTAGGATTTAGTCATCGACAGCTGAGTTACTTGAGTATGACTAACTTCCAACTTTTCATAAATTGTCCTAATGATTACATAAAAATTTTGAGAGGTTTGTTCAGCAGAAAGGAATTATATAGAAATACACCTACTATGTACTGAGAATTTACCATGAATTAGCCATTAGGAGGTGCTTTGCATGCCTTACATAACTTAATCCTCCCAATACTACTGCAAGGTAGGTATCATTACATCATTTTAGAGATCGAGTAAGAGGAGTTTAGAGAGATGACTTAATATACCTGGAGTCACACTTCTGGCTAACCATTTGGACTCAGTCCCTGTCCTTACCTATTACATCATACCCCTTCCTACAGGATTTTCTTACCTTTTTTTTAGGTTAAATATGTTTGATTAAATGAAATTCAAGGGCACTGGAGCATACTGAGCTTCTGGGAGAAGCATCTCTAGGTGACTCAAGTTTAATAGGATTAGTTTGTTACCTAACACAACTAAGTAGGTGTTAGTAGAAGTATTAAAAATTGACTGCTGTGAAAAAAGATAATATCTGGATATGGTTTCATATTCACTGAAGTGTTTATACAAATATGTTGTAATTCTTTTAACAAAAAATGTGAGGTGAAAAGTAGCACCCGCCCCACGTATCACAGATTAGGAACTCATCTGTTCATAGAATCAGCAAATGTATGTATGTGGTACCTTGGAGGTGGGGGGACAGCTGGGCAGGAAGAGTGATGGTTGCGTGGAGTCAGGCTAGAATTCAAACCCTGTTTCTGGACTCCACAGCTTAAAAACCATAACAGGGGAACCAAAACTATTTCATCCAGTGTAGTCCAGGAGGAGACAGTTGCCTGTGACATATTTGCCCAAACTGGTACTGGCATCATGTTGCCAAGTTATTTCCGGACCTGAATGGGCCAAAAGTCTCTAACTGGCCTCACTGTGCCCTTTTCTCATCTCCTGAATTCCCATCTTCCCTAGGCTTATGCATTCATAAGCCCTCTGGTTAGTAAAGCCCTACATGGAGTTGCCCGCTCATCACCAGGATCATATCCAGAAAAACAAATTTACCTTCCTCTCTTGCAGCTATCAAATCTGCATTCCTCTTGCCCATGTGTGTGTGTTTTTTTTTTTTTAAAGAACAATCTAATAAAAACAACTTAATGAAATTTGTCTAAAATAAAAAGAGAACTTATTGTGGAAACTTTATAAGGAAAGATACGCTTAATCCAATAGCAATCACTAACATTTTGGTATCTTATTTAAAAATTTTAATATTAGCTTTCTCTTTCTTCCTATGCCTTTTAAAAAACAGAAAATTTCATTATAAAGAACTCGACTGAATATCAGCTAATTGAACCACTCAACTGAATATTACGGTAGAATTTCAGACAAAGTGACATAATGATGTAAAGATTTACAGGCAGCATGGGAAATGCCCTACTCCATCCCCTCAATAAATCTTGTGTTTTTATGGAGGGGGTGGGGAGAGTGCTATTATAGAATCCCTTAAAACAATCATGAATTGCTATTGATTCTGTTCAGTGCTCTGTCACCCTCTCCCAGAATCAGGATTCCAGAATAATCTCGGCAAATCACTTGAATGATGGCCAATTTCTGCAGTTAAACACACACACACAAACACCATTTGAAATCCAAGAGCTTTTGGTTCACTAACCATTTTGTGTTCCAATCCACTGTCCTAACTAAAACATATGGCAAATGAACATCAAAGAGTATAATTTAACCTTTCTCATCAATTTAATAAGGGGGAACACTCCCTACCTATTCTGCCCACATTCCAACTCAATCCCTTGGTTCTGGATTTTGGAAGAATGTAAATCAGGCACCTGTCCCTATAAGAAGTCTTCAACAGAAGAGAATCTCTGTGCAAAGGATAATAGTTCATAGTTTTAATCTGTGTAATAATCAGACTCAGATAAAAAAAATAATACTTTATAGTTAGAATAACTGTGTAGAGATTAAGTACTTCTTCTAATTAGTAGAATTAGAAATAAATTTCAGCAATTTAGGTATACAATTCTCCTAATTTCCTGTAACAACCTAATTTTAATTTTGGGTCTCAGTCAAGAGGAACAGAACACTGCATCACAAACAGAATAGGATCTGACTATCCTACACAATCTCTCTCTCTCAAAAAAAAATCAATGCATAATTGTGTAGGATAAATATCTACCGTTGCAACTATTCTTGCTATGAAAGAATTACATCATTCTAAGATAGATCTCAAATAAGATTTATGTCAAGTCTTCTTAGATGCTGGTATGGTCCAGTGAACACAAAGGTTTCTGAGCCAGGAGACCTGGGATCAAGCCTTGCTTCTGTCACTTTCCTTATGACCACACATTGAATTTCTTTTGAGCCTCTTTTAATTTATAGAAGAGATATACCTCTCCCTGCCTTATAGGGCTCTAATAAAAATTCAGTGTAATGATTTACATGAAAGCACTTGATAAAATAAAAGAAGATGCCTTTATACAATTGCTAGTTTCTATTATAACAGTAAGGGGGGGGGGAAGGAGAAAAAAAGAAAGAAAAGAAAAAAGGAAAAAAAGAAACAAAAAAGGACTTTATGTTTTCTGATCAGAGCAGGCCAACAGACCAAAAGGGGTCAGTGCAGGTGGCACGAAGGTGTAGACCCATCCAACCACTGGAAGGAAAAGCACCTGATTGGGGTGGTAGTGTATATAGGACACAACAGAAGCTCTGTCAAGTTCAACTCAGCCATGACTTGAATCCAAACTTTAAGACTCCGCTTTAATATAGAGCATTTTAAATGAAACTCTATTTTCAATAGACTGTTTAGATTTTAAAATCTTGAAAATCAAAGTAAGTTAAGCATAATTAAGAAAAAAATCATGACAGATAAAGCAAGGTGAGACAAAAAGACTATCATGACCATTAAAAGATAGGACCCATTGTTGGGCAGATAGGTAAATACAAAAACTATTAAGATTGACAAAAGCGTGAGAAAAGTAGAAGTGTTATAATGAAAGAAATGGTAACAGATAGCAATGCTAACCTTAGATATAAAATAAGCCTGGAGAACTCTGTGGTAGGCAGAAAGAAATGCTAAAATAATAAAACAAACTACAAAGCACAATATACAACATTAAGGAAAGAAATCGTTTAACTGAACACAAAGTGGCTTTTTACTACTGCGGAAACATTAGGTGGTAGAAAAGTGAAGTCGTTTCAAGGAATTTTTGGAAGGTTTCCAGAGGTGGCAAAAGGCGAAATACTCAAAATATTTAAGTGTAAGCATATTTTTTAAAAACCCAAACACCTACAATAGGTGACATCTAAAATACCGCCTCCCAAACAACCGGCCAGTAACTTGTAGAGGACCCCAAGTTTGTCATGTGCAGAAACGTCCCCAAGGATGAACCGTGGGTACCGCGCATCAAACTTTCTCTTGTGGCCATCTGCAGGAACAAAGCGTCCATCTCACTGGGGGTGAGAGCGGCGAGACCCTGGTGCAAGACAGACGCTCAGCAAAGGCTTCCCCCCACTCCAGATCGGACTTCTCCCTGGACCCCGCCGACCCGCCTCCCAGACCAGGTCTGCCACTGCAAGTCCAGCCCCCGACCCCTCAAGGCAGCCCTCCCAGTCCCGCATCCCTCGCTCAGTCCCGCAGGCCGCCGCCCCCAACACGGAGCTTCATTCATTGACCCGGGCAGAGGGGCGGGCGAGCCAAACGAGCTCGAGCAACGGGTGTGTGAGGCTCCAGGCGGGGATACCGGGGCGAGTGCTTACTCTGGGTGTCCGTTAAGGAAATCATGGCTGCAGCGGTGAGGGGAACGGCTACTGCACCTCCGGGCGCCCAGGTCGTTAAGCAAAGTGGGGAGAAAAGAAGCCGGGAAACAACCCAGGGGAGAGCCGCCACGTCTTCCGGAAACACGCAGCCACCCCTACCCTAGCCTCAAGACAGCTTCCCATTGGCGAAATCCGCTCCCAATATAGACCAATCATCCTTAGTCTTGTTCGGTGACGCAAATGGTGGCCACACCCCTTCACCAATTAGAGAAGAGTGTTACTTGCAATTGGTTGAGGAGACCTAACCGGAAGGGCGGATGCTCCCAGCAAGAGGAAAAGGAAAGCTTGGTGGCGGGAAGTTTTCATTGGAGAGTGGCTGAAAGCAGTACCTAGTGGTCCTGAGCCGAGCGCTTTGAGGTGGGAGACCGAGGAAGCGGGTGGGGTGGGGTAGGGGTGGAGTGTGGAGGGGTGGGGATCTGGGGGTAATTCTGCTTTGAATGGGCTAACCTTTCTTTTTCCTTCCTGAGGGCGAGGCCGGTCTATCGCGGATCACTTCCTTTCACCAATATATTGGCAGGAGAGAAACCGGCGTTAATCGTCGCCCGTCTCTAATGGAGTTCGGGCCTTTAGGGGCACCTTGAACTTTCTGCTCCTCTCTTTTTATCTCTAGCCTTTCCCATGCAGGAAGCTTGGTTACCAAAGTCTGTTTATTGGCAACCACCGTTTATTGGTGAACAGCACGGTGGACGCATAGGCCAAGTGGAGGGTATTATTAAATTAATGTTGTCTTTAAAAAGCAGGTGCTGGGGAGCCTGGTGAATTAGCCTGTGGTACCGTAGTGACGGTTATTCCAGTATCAATGACTGGCTGTGACCCCGTGAAATATTTGCTGTGGGTGCTGTTAAAAGTTAAGAAATAGCGGGAGTAAAACCAATGAATCACTGAAGTAGTAATTAAAGTTTGTGGTGCACCCACCAAAGAGACAGGGAACCAGGAGCACTCAAGCCAAAAAGGGAATGAGGCTCTTGGGTATATTGTTATAAAGCGGCTTATGTAGTAAGAAGTCAGTGACTTTATTCCTCGCAGTGATTCGAATATTAACATTTTCTTAAGGTAGGGAATTGGTTAGTGGTTATCTCATATCAGCCTTGGGAAACGTTTCAAGTTTTGTTTATGATTTCTGGAGGCATAAAAAGGAAATTACCTAGGTCAAGTTAGTCTTACAACAACGTAAGGTCAATTGACTTTGTTTGACTAAACTGGTTTTGTCCCTTTGAGGAATTTTCAAGGCTCTTCTCCGTTTGTTTTTGATTTTAACATTTTCCCCCTTTTGGTTCTCTCAGCAGGGTGAGAGTATGATCAACCAGTATAGTGTTATTTTCAGGTTGTACCATTGAAGTACTCAGGCTGAAGAATCACATTTTTATTTTTTTTATTTAAAAAAAAATTTTTTTTAATGTTTATTTATTTTTGAGACAGAGAGAGACAGAGCATGAACGGGGGAGGGTCAGAGAGAGAGAGGGAGACATAGAATCCGAAACAGGCTCCAGGTTCTGAGCTGTCAGCACAGAGCCTGACGGGGGGCTTGAACTCACGAACCGCGAGACCATGACCTGAGCTGAAGTCGGACGCTTAACCGACTGAGCCACCCAGGCGCCCCAAGAATCACATTTTTGCTGTTGTCATTAGTTGGATTATTAGGCTAAGGGCCACGTGGTCACCATCTTCATCATTTATGTGGTTATTGTTGATTTCATACAGTTGTCTGATCCTGATGGATACCATTTGGTCTGTGAGTGGCTGCTGACAGGCATTTAAAACCTTGGAGAGTATGCAGCGCATTAGAGGTGATTTAAGGAGAACAATAGCCAAAGATTGAAAATTTCCCAGAGCAGATTCCCAGGTGCCAAGATTTAACCAAGTAAATAAATCAAATGGATTTCAGTTTTTTTAAAGGTATTTACATAAGCATAATATGATATATTAACAGTCACATCTTTGTGATGACTCAGGACTGGATGAAGGTGAAGATGTTTTATTTTAAGTGGCTGTGTTGCAGGTGAACTTCCACCTAAATTAAGCCTCTGGTGTGAGCAATCAAGTAATTTAAGGAGAGGCATTTCTGTGGAAGCAAAAGAAAAATAAAAGCTAATATTTTAAGAAGATTATAAATTCAGTGTCTGAGTTTGGAGAGAAACCAATTGAGAAAATTTCTAGATGTTGGGTTCAAATTATCTTTAGATGGATGAAGGCAAGAGTAACAATCTGACAGATTTTCCTGGTTTGCAGTTTGAATGTCACTGGTGATCTTGCTGAGTGACCACATAGCAACAGGCACGTTGTCCTCCTCACATGAGCTGCTTTGGTGGTTTCTCTGAAGTTTACATCAGGTTGTTCAGCTTTAGTTTGCATGGCTTTGAGAAAAGGGCAGTTTTATTTTCACAGTGATTCCAAGTTACAAGAATGGGAGGAAATTGGAAATGTTAGTTTGGAGAGTTCTAGCCAGATATTGGAGGAAACTAGAATTCAGGATCCAGTTCAGTTTATAAGTAGAAAATAAAACCTTAAGGAAAATTAATAGCACTAGATGTATTACCAAAACATAATCATAATTTTTCTGTCATCATCCCATTTCTATTAGGGTAACTACAGTTAGGCTAATTTGTTTGCAAATTGAGTCTAGTTTCAATAAATTTGGCCTATTTACATAAGTGCAGCAAAAATAGTGACTGACCATATAGGCTCTTTTAAATCTGCTTTGCTGGAACTTTTTCATAAAGAATCTTAGATTGAACTTTTCAGGGCTCTTCAGGCTAAGCAGCCAAACTAAGGACTTGTCTAATTGTGTCCTATTACAAGGAGATCAGATCGAGCTTAAGTAAATACATATATTGTCATGAAAAATAAGACTATTTAATAACAGGTTTTAAATTCTGGTGGGATCAGGTAGAAAGAAAAAGATAAATGTTTCAACCTTTGTTTACAAAAGTAGTTTTTACTGAATCACTGTAAGCTATAGATAGCTTAAAAGAGAGGAGAAAATGGAGCTTTTTAAATCTGGAAAGCAGGACATTGAAGAACCAGCAATATTTTAAATGAAATCATAAAAAATTATAATCATCTTCATTAGTTCATTCAGTCTCCTGTAATTCTTGTTTTGCTTCACCTTAGGGTTAATAACTTTATGAATCAGTTTTTCATTAGATTTTTAGAAATTCTTACCCAGTTCAGTGTTATGATCTTAAAGTTAACAGAAACCTGTACTTCTTAGTCTTTTCCATGAATCTCTTTGCAGATGAAGCACTATCGTAGGAACAGTTTTGCAAAAACAAACTTAAATCCAGTTCAATTTTAGCTAGACCACACAAAAAATTCCTTTCTCAAGATCCCTTTTCCATAAACCTTCTACACTTTATATCCATCCAGTTTTTGTTACGTCTTTTTTTTTTTTTTTCTCATTCTGGAATAATCATTTTACTTTTGGACAAAATTACTTCCTTTATTCCTTTACCAAAACAACATACCCATGTTCTTCATCTCTTTCCTTGTCCAAAAACATGTTCTATTTTCTTTAACTACTTTTCATATACTGTTGTTTTCTTTTAATCTTACTCTTTCTAGTAGTTTTAATTAAATATATTAATTAGATTTCTTAACTCTTATCTTTAATTCCTAGTAAAAAACAAGAATTAAGCAATTGTGGACTGGCAACTTTGTACATACACAATTATAAAAACCTTTTAGAGATCTATGTTTTTTATAATATAGTTTTTAATGTGACAAAGGATATAGTTATTAATAGACCCAAGTATCTATTGTCTGTCTGTAAAAATTAAAAAGCGAAAAGTTGGGGTTGTTCTAATGAATCCTAGGCCACTAACGTCTGAGTGACTCTTTTGAGACTGAGCAAGTGAGGCTAGGGTAAAACAATGTTGGCAGGTGCCAATAGAAAGCAATTTGTCATTAATCAAAAGAGAGTTGCCAAAGCTTGAATTTATTGGAAGAGTTCTCCTAGAAGATGAACTAGATTTAGGTTATCTTGTAGCAGATGATACAAATGGAACTAGAAATCAAACATAAATAAGAGCCTTGCATAGTAGTGCAAGGGAGATGCACAATGAAAACCATTCACTCTGAGGTAGATTTGAGACACTGTAGTAGTACTGAGGGACTGCCATGATGGGAACCAATTCAGAGAGCAGACTTTAAGCAACCTTTAAATGGCATTTCCAAAACACTGATTTGCTCAGGTCAGTTTTAGTTGGCCCTCAGACTTGAGAAGTATATTGAATGATATAGTTATACTTTCTTTTGAACTTTCTGTAGTTCTTATTAGCTTCAGGGAAAAATTATTAGTTGAGGTTGTATGTCCTTAGTAATTTTCTTATATCGGCTAATTACTCACTTTAACAAAAAGAGCAGTTACCAAGCTCCAAACGGTAGCAGGTAGAAATATCATTGGTTTATGTTTATTACAGTCATAGGTATGGTTACTTTCTGTTTTTAGCAAGTGACAGTTTTTTGTTTTGTTTTTTTGTTTTCATTTCTGGTAGTGATGTATAGTTTTATCTCAATAAAAGTTTAAAGTTAGTTTCCTTAAATAAAGTATTAGTAATACTACAATACTGTACAAAAAAAAAGCTTAAAGTAGATAAACTTATGTTTTGCATTTAATGATTCAGTATATTATCTCATTTGCAAATGATTTAGATACTCAACAAATATTCATGATTTAGTTTAACTTGTTATAAACTTTTTATTTACATTTATTTAAATTATTTATTTTTACCAATTATTCTTGGATTAGACATTAAACAGCTAACCATCACACTATTTTTCTTATCAACAAATTTTGAAGTCATGCTTGCTTTTGTTTTAATGTTTTTGTTTTATTTTTGAGAGAGCGAAAATGGGGGAGGGGCAAGGAGAAGGGAACAGAGAATTTGAAGCAGGCTCTGAGCTGACAGCAGCGAGCCTGATATGGGGCTCAAACTCATGAAACACTAGATTATTACCTGATCTGAAGTCAGATGCTCAACCAACCAAGCCACCCAGACACCCAGACATGCTTGCTTTTTTTAAGTCAACAAACTTAAACTAGGTTTTACATATCAAAGGTTGTATCAGGTCATGTGAACTTGAAAAACATTTTGGTTTGTTTTTATATGTCTGAGGGTTTCAGGAGTACTTAATTTATAAGTGCTTATTTTTCTTTAAGCCAATTAAATAGAGCTCCTTACATATTCTGGCAATAGCATCTGGAATTAGAAAAATATTACCCATCTATAACATGCATACATAGACATACATAAACATACAGACAGAGGCAAACAGATCTTGTAGCTTTTGTTTAAAAAAGTTTAGCCATGAGCTGATAGCCATAATATTGCAAAATTCACCAGTTTAGAAAAGAACAGTTGGATCTAAATTGTCTTTCTGGGAAGTTGAGGTTACCTGCTCAGATAGCAAAGTTGTTTGTTTTCCCCCTAGTAACTTTTTTTTTGTTTGCATGATGCAAAGATCTTTTAGAGCTATTTTTGCAGTCATTGTGTCTTTTAGAAGTTTCTGCTTATCAGAGAATGCATTCTGTTGTCTCTGAGAGATTTGAAATCTTCTCTTGTCAAAGGCACAGCTTTAAGATACACTTCTCTAAGTTAAAGTTGCCCTCCAGTGGCTGCTACAATTCTAGAAGTTCACCCATTTTTCCAAAAAGGCACAAAATCCTGGTCCATAGACCAACCAGGTAGAATACATCTTTACCTTTAGATTCCCTAAGAGTTAGTTCTTAGATATGAGGGGCCCTGCTTTCTAAAAGCTATTCTAAAACACAGGGAACCATGTGTTTCCCTGCCCTCCTCTCTTTGGAGTAGAATAGGAAGATTTACCTAGAAGCTTCAACAAACAAAATACAGGTATGCAAATTAAAGTCAGCTCAAAATGGAGAGAACAGAGCTCAGATATAAGAGAGACTTGACTTCAAACTCTAGAGTCAGTGAGAAAGTGAATTAAATGGACTCTGTGGGTTCCATCACCATAGGGGCCTCAGAGTTAAGGAGGAAGGGAGGTTGGGGGGGTGTCTTCTTTGGATCCCATTAAAAAAATTTTTTTTTTAATGTTTATTTATTTTTGAGACAGAGAGATAGAGGGCAAGTTGGGGAGGGGCAGAGAGAGAGAGGGAGACATCAGAATCTGGAACAGGCTCCAGGCTCTGGGTTGTCAGCACAGAGCCTGACGTGGGGCTTGAACTTGGCAACAGCAAGATGAAGACTTGAGCCGAAGTCAGACACTCAGCCAACTGAGCCACGCAGGCACCCCTTTTGGATCCCATTTTTACACCACAGACTGTCAAAAGTTTAGAATTACCAGAGGTAAAACCAATGAATTATTGAAGTAGTAATCAGAAAAAGTTTATTGTGCACACACCAGAAAGACAGACTGCAAACCAAGAGCATTCAAACCAAAACATGGAAGGAAGCTCAGAGGTATATTGTTAGAAAGTGGTTTATAAAGTGAGAAATTCCTGCTCTCAAGCCTCCTCTCCTTCTACTTTGTTCATCTGTATGTAGTCTTAAGTTTTAGTCATTCATAGGTATTTAAAGTTCCTTAATTACATACCATGTGTTTCCCCCACTTCTGATATTTTCATGTTTTTTCCTGAAATCTAGTCCCTCCGTGGAATACCAGTTCCTCTTTTAAGATTGAACCTAAATTGTAACTGTAAAGCAGGTATTCAATAAAATGTTGAATGATTAATTTGAGTGTTTATGTGGGTGGATTTTACCTAATCTGGGATGTTTGAATCTGTTATTTATAAGATAGGTTTTACCATCCCAATTTTACAGATAAGGAAAGAGGTGAAGAGGAACAGGTTGTTTAACTTTGCTAAGATCATACAGTAATTTATTGCTAAAACTGTTTAGCCTCAAAGCTTTCTTTTTTGCTAATTGCTTTGTATGTGGTGTTTAAGTGTCATTGATGTTATACTTGTTTATGTGATTTTGGACACTTCTCTGAAATCTAGAGAATTCGCTATAAAAATTAGTGTGGGAATAACCATGTAGTCCTTATTTTAAAAGTCACTATAATATATAATTTCTGACATTTTTCATGCTTAGTAGTGATAAATTATTGGGTAGGCATTATCAATACTATGGTTTAAAAAAATTTGCTGTGATTTTTCTTTCACTTTTAGAAAGAAGTTTGGATCCCAATTCAATTTTAGGATGGCAGCCATTTCAGGTTAGTGGAAATGATTACATTTTATAGTATATTCTGTTTTGTTTCTAACTGCATGCTCTTTGAAAAAAATTGTTTTTCTCTGTACTTTCAATTTTGCTGTGAACCTTAAACTGCTCTTAGAGGAAAGTCTTAATAAAAATAAAGAATAATAAATTATAAAAATATTTGTTTTAAAAATTCTGATTTTTATGTTTTGTGTTTTTTTTTAAATTGTAAAGCATACCAAAATGTACCATTTTAACTAATTTTAAGTATACAATTCAATGGGAGCAATTCACATTATTGTGTAACCATCACCAATATCCATCTCCAGAACTTTTTCATCATTCCAAACTGAAATTCTGTACCCATCGTACAATAATGTCCTCTTACTCCCTTTCTCCCAATTGCTAGCAACACTACTCGTACTCTGTATGAATTTGACTACTCTAGGTAACTAAGATAACTGGACTCATGCAATATTTGTCCTTTTGTGTCTGGCTTGTTTTCTTTAGTATAATGTCTTTGAGCTTCATCCATTTTATATGTATCTTTTTAAGGTTGAATAACATTGCATTGTATGTATATACCACCTTTTGTTTATCAGTTTGTCTGTCAGTGGACATCTGGGTTGTTTTACCTTATGGCAATTGTGAATAATGCTGCTATGAACGTTTAAATACAAACGGGCTTGAGTCTCTCTTTTCAGTTCTTTTGGTGGAGTTCTAGAGGTGGAGCTGCTGAATCACATGCTCTTTCTTCTATTTAAGTTTTCAGGAACTGCTGTATTTTTCTCCATACTCACTGTTCCATTTTACATTCCCAGCAGTAGTACAGAAGGGTGATGTTTTTTGATAGAATTATGGGAACCTCAGAAATCACAAAGTAGAATGTATCAATCACTCCAAATCCCACTACTCAAATTAATACTGTAATATATGGATGCATTATTTTTCAACAGATTTTTAGTTTGCAAAGAGTTTTTATTTTTTTAATGAAGTATAATTAACATATAATGTTATGTTAGTTTCAGGAGCACAACATATTCCTCAGTTCTATCCATTAATCAGTGCTTACCATGATAAATGTAGTTACTATTTGTCACCATAAAATATTGTTGTAATATTATTGACTATACTACCTATGCTGTACTTTTCATTTCTGTGACTTATTTTATAATTGGAAGTTGGTACCTCTTAATCCCTTCCACCAATTTCATTATTTTCTCTACCTACTTCCCCTTTGCCAACCACCAGTTTGTTCTCTGTATGAGTTTTTTTTTAAACATTCCACATGTAAATGAAATCATATGGTATTTGTCTTTCTCTGACTTATTTAGCCTAATACCTCTTAGGTCCATCCATCTTATTTCAAATAACAAGCTCTCATTCTTTTCTATGGCTGAGTAATATTCCATTGCATATAATATATATATATATATATATACACACACACACACACACCACATCTTCTTTATCCATTTGTCTATCAGTGGATGCTTGGTTTGCTTCCATATCCTGGCTATTGTAAATAATGCTGCAGTGAACATAGAGATGTGTATATCTTTTTGAATTAGTATTTTCATTTTCTTTGGATAAATACCCAGAAGGAGAATTGCTAGATTATATGGTATTTCTACTTTTAATGTTTTTTGGAACCTCCATACTATTTTTACATATGCATGAAAGTTCTTTTTTCTTTTTTTTTTTTTCTTTTTTTTTTTCCAACGTTTATTTATTTTTGGGACAGAGAGACAGAGCATGAATGGGGGAGGGGCAGGGAGAGAGGGAGACACAGAATCGGAAACAGGCTCCAGGCTCTGAGCCATCAGCCCAGAGCCTGACGCGGGGCTCGAACTCACGGACCGCGAGATCGTGACCTGGCCGAAGTCGGACGCTTAACCGACTGCGCCACCCAGGCGCCCCAGAAAGTTCTTTTTTCTCCACATCCTTATCAATACTTGCTACTTCTTGTGTTTTTGATAGTAGCCATTTGGACTGGTGTGAGGTGATATTCTGTTGTGGTTTTGATTTGCATTTCCCTAATGATTAGTGATGTTGAACATCTTTTCATCTGTCTGTCATCTCTGTCTACAGAAAAATGTCTATTCAGGTGTTCTGCCAAATTTTTAATTGGATTGTTTGGGTTTTTCTGGTGTTGAGTTGTGTAAGTTCTTAATGTATTTTGGATGTTAATCCCTTATTAGATATCATTTGCACATATCTTCTGTCATTCACTATGTTGCCATTTTGTTTTGTTGATGGTTGTGCAAAAGCATTTTATTTTGATGTAGTCTCAATAGTTTATATTTGCATTTGTTTTCCTTGCTTGAGAAAACTTAGATAATGTTGCTAAGGGCAGTGTCTAAAAAATTTCTGCATGGGTTTTCTTTTGGGAGTTTAATGGTAAGGTCTCACATTTAGGTCTTTAATCCATTTTGAGTTTGTTTTTGTGTATTGTGTAAGAAAATGGTCCAGTTTCATTCTTTTGCATGTAGCCACCCAGTTTTCTCAAAACCATGTATTGAAAACACTGTCTTTTCCCCATTGTATATTCTTCCCTTCATTGCCATAGATTAATTGACCACATAAGCGTAGATTTATTTTTGGGCTCTCTTGTCTGTTCTATAATCTGTGTGTCTGTTTTTGTGACAATAGCGTACTGTTTTGATTACTATATTTGTGTAGTATGTCTTGAAATCTGGGATTGTCCAGCTTTGTTCTTCTTTCTGAAGATTGCTTTGGCTATTTGGGGTCTTTTGTGGTTCCATAGTTTTGGAATTATTTGTTCTAGTTCTGTGAAAAATATATTGGAATTTTGGTTGAAATTGCATTGCATCTGTAGGTTGCTTCAGGTATTATGAACATTTTAACAATATTAATTCTTCCAGTCTGTGAGGAGAGAATATCTTTCTATTTATTTGTGTTTTCTTCAGTTTCTCTTAGCAGTGTCCTCTAGTTTTCAGTATATAGGTCTTTGATCTTTATGGTTAAGTGTATTTCTGAGTATTTTATTCTTTTTGGTGCAGTTGTAAATTTCTCTTTCTTCTACTTCATTATTAGAGTATAGAAATGCAACAGATTTCTATATATTAATTTTGTATCTTGCAACTTCACTGAGTTTGTCAGTTCTAGTAGTGTTTTAGTGGAGTCTTTAGTGTTTTCTAATAGGGTCATGTCACCAACAAATAGTAACAGTTTTATTTACTCCTTACCAATCCGAATGCCTTTTGTCTAGTTTTTTAAATTGTCTGATTGCTTCTACTACAAAGCTGTAATCATCAAGACAGCATGGTATTGGCACAAAAACAGACACATAGACCAATGGAATAGAATAGAAACCCCAGAACTAGACCCACAAACGTATGGCCAACTCATCTTTGACAAAGCAGGAAAGAACATCCAATGGAAAAAAGACAGTCTCTTTAACAAATGGTGCTGGGAGAACTGGACAGCAACATGCAGAAGGTTGAAACTAGACCACTTTCTCACACCATTCACAAAAATAAACTCAAAATGGATAAAGGACCTGAATGTGCGACAGGAAACCATCAAAACCCTAGAGGAGAAAGCAGGAAAAGACCTCTCTGACCTCAGCCATAGCAATCTCTTACTCGACACATCCCCAAAGGCTAGGGAATTAAAAGCAAAAGTGAAATACTGGGACCTTATGAAGATAAAAAGCTTCTGCACAGCAAAGGAAACAACCAACAAAACTAAAAGACAAGCAATGGAATGGGAAAAGATATTTGCAAATGACATATCGGACAAAGGGCTGGTATCCAAAATCTATAAAGAGCTCACCAAACTCCACACCCGAAAAGCAAATAACCCAGTGAAGAAATGGGCAGAAAACATGAATAGACACTTCTCTAAAGAAGACATCCGGATGGCCAACAGGCACATGAAAAGATGCTCAACATCGCTCCTTATCAGAGAAATACAAATCAAAACCACACTCAGATATCACCTCACGCCAGTCAGAGTGGCCAAAATGAACAAATCAGGAGACTATAGATGCTGGAGAGGATGTGGAGAAACGGGAACCCTCTTGCACTGTTGGTGGGAATGCAAATTGGTGCAGCCACTCTGGAAAGCAGTGTGGAGGTTCCTCAGAAAATTAAAAATAGACCTACCCTATGACCCAGCAATAGCACTGCTAGGAATTTATCCAAGGGACACTGGAGTACTGATGCATAGGGGCACTTGTACCCCAATGTTCATAGCAGCACTCTCAACAATAGCCAAATTATGGAAAGAGCCTAAATGTCCATCAACTGATGAATGGATAAAGAAATTGTGGTTTATATACACTATGGAATACTACGTGGCAATGAGAAAAAATGAAATATGGCCTTTTGTAGCAACGTGGATGGAACTGGAGAGTGTGATGCTAAGTGAAATAAGCCATACAGAGAAAGACAGATACCATATGGTTTCACTCTTATGTGGATCCTGAGAAACTTAACAGGAACCCATGGGGGAGGGGAAGGAAAAAAAAAAAAAAAGAGGTTAGAGTGGGAGAGAGCCAAAGCATAAGAGACTGTTGAGAACTGAGAGCAAACTGAGGGTTGATGGGGGGTGGGAGGGAGGAGAGGGTGGGTGATGGGTATTGAGGAGGGCACCTTTTGGGATGAGCACTGGGTGTTGTATGGAAACCAATTTGACAATAAATTTCATATATATATAAAAAAAAATTAAATAAATAAATAAATGTTAAAAAAAAAAATTTTAAAAAACAAGACCCATCTATATCTTGCCTATAAGACACTAACTTCAGGCCTAAAGATACATGTAGATTCAGAATGAAGAGATAGAAAAACATCATGCAAGTGGAAGCAAAAAGAAAAGCCAGAGTAACAGTACACATATCAGACAAAATATGCTTTAAAACAAAGACTGTAAAAAGAGTCAAAGAAGGGTATTACATAATGATAAAGGTACCAGTCCAACAAGATATAACAAGTGTACATATCTACACACCCAACACAGGAGCATCGAAATACATAAAACACACATAAC